TTTGAATCCACCAGATGCTCTGCCGGGGAAGGAGGGACAATCTCCTCCTGTACCAGTCAGATCTGATTTGATGGTACACTCACACACACAAATGATAAAAAAAAAAAAAAAAGAACTTAGCTGTTAACCAAAAGATTGGTGGTTTGAAGCCACCATTTGCTCCACAAGAAAAAGATAGGGCAGGACACTGGGAAGGATTGGTTGAGTAAAGTAGGTAGAGTAGAAACCTTTATGAAAGCCGTTCCACAAAAATTTACTGTCTTGGAAATCCTATGGGGCAGTTCTGCTCTGTCCTTTAAGGTCACAATGAACTGAAATTGACTAGGTAGTTAACAGGTGAATTGAGTGAAACTCAGTCTTCTTTGCTGTACTCTGTTAAACCCCTATTTGCCAATGTGGTTTTGTCTTCACCTTTCTTATGTGAGAAAAGTCGTGAACATACTATAGAAAGTAATTGCACACTTTTTCCCTGAGGGAAGGAAGACTGCTCTTGGTCTCAACTCCTCCTCAGACGCTTCGTTCTTTTCTTTCAGTATGTGGAGAACAACAAGAATGCGGACAATGATTGGTTCCGATTGGAGTCCAACAAAGAAGGGACTCGGTAGGTAAACCCCTTTGGGAGGTAGGGAGGTGGGAGGCTTAACCTGACTTGTGTCATTTGACTTCCTGAATCCCACTGCCAGGACTATTCTGCTTCATCTTAAATGTTTCCATTTCCCTTATTCAAGAGCTCCCGATCTCCATCCCACAGTGAGTTTCCCAGGCAGATATAATTTGAGTATAGGAAGAATGGACAGATTCTTGTTTGGTCTTTGTTACAGGTGGTTTGGAAAATGCTGGTACATCCATGACCTCCTCAAATACGAGTTTGACATCGAGTTTGATGTGAGTGTAAAGGAGTGGGAAATGTGAAGATTGAGAGAAGGAGAGGAATTAGATGATTATTAGCAAGCTAAATTAATTTGGAAGGACAAAGAAAACATTTAAAATAAGAGGGGCAACCTGAAGTTTGAAGGAAGCTAGCAAGCAAGATTGTTTGTTATTGTGTACGATACGGAACCGACCCATAGCTGACCCTCTGACGGGTTTTCAGAGGCAGTTAATCACACGGGAGGAGATTGCCCATCCTTCTTCCACAGAGAAGCAAGAAAGATATGTTACAGTTATCTCCATGTCCAGAATCCTGCTTAGGAAGTGTGCGGATCATCTCACTTCTACCAAGAAATATACATGACTGATTAAATTAGTTTCTTTCTATCCTGATTATCTGTTTCATTAAGATTTTATAATTCCTCCAGATTCCTGTCACGTATCCCACTACTGCTCCAGAAATTGCAGTCCCTGAACTGGATGGAAAGACAGCAAAGATGTACAGGTAGGACTGAATATGAGATGAGAGAGGGTCAGAGAAGACCTTAAGAAAGAACTTGGGAGGTTAAAGATATCCCCAGAGTCTACTGGCCTAGAGGGACACCCAGTTTCTCTCTGCCAAGACTAGGTTAAGGACTTTACTGACTTTGTCCTTAATTCTGATTGCTAGTAGCCTTTCTGTGTTCCTGTGAGTTGGCAGTGCTTTAAATCTTACATCATGCTCCTCTTCTAATAGGGGTGGGAAAATATGCCTGACTGATCACTTCAAGCCTTTATGGGCCAGGAATGTGCCAAAGTTTGGACTAGCTCATCTCATGGCTCTTGGGGTAAGTTTGATGTATTTGATATATATATATAGGGGTGAAAAGGCTCTGAGTAGTACACGAATAGTAGCCAAGATTCAATAAGTAATGGGAGTTTTGTCTTTTGAAAGTGATCCTCCCTTTAGAACCCATATCCAGGAAGGAGCTTCTGATGGGACAAGAAGTGTTGACTTGCTGGAAGTAATCACAGAATCTCCCTTGTATTGCAGCTAGGTCCATGGCTGGCGGTAGAAATCCCAGATCTGATTCAGAAAGGTGTGATCCAGCACAAAGAGAAATGCAATCAATGAAGGAGCAAATCACTGAGGAAGAACAGAGGGACCTTTGACAAATAAGGTTTCTTATTCATCTAACTGCTTTCCCTTTCTCCCTTCCATTCCTACTTGGAATTGCAGCAGGCCATGCTGGGGAAAACCAAAATGGTATTGCTATTGAGTTTCTAAGTTAGGCTGCAGAAGAGAATGGAAAAGACTTGGACCTTCGAAAACCAAGAGGCAATTATAAGCCCCTCCCCAGATGAAGCTATGTAAGATCCTGGGGTAACTGAAAGTGGGGACATAGCCTTTTTGGTTTCTGGAGATAACCATTAATAAAAGCTGTTTTCTCTGGTGGCCTGCGGTGCTCATTGGTGTCCTTTAACAGAGTTTAAAAGCCAAATACAGCTAAACTGGTTTGAGAGGGAGGGGAAAGTCAAGGATGTGCTGGCCTAGATCTGGAGATCATTCTCCAGAGCTCTGACTGCAGCCTCTGCCCTTTAACTGTGAGCTGTGCTTCTCTCCATTGCTTTGGCCTGCAGGGAACAAGAGAGGTTCTGCAGAAGCAGCTCTCTGCTACTACTACCCTCCTCAGGGATCTGTCCGGTACTATATGGAGTGCTGGATTACTTCTTCACTGGTCTGCAGGCTGAATCCAGGCTCTCCAGTTTCCTATTTATTGGTGCACCCATGCAGTCAGGGCAGGATCTGGATTGCAAGCCTGGGGCCCTACTATGATTGTCACATCTCTATGCCTACAGGCTCATAAGATGGGGTTATAAGAGTGTATACCTCAGTCTTTTCTTTGGAGCAGTGGTTTACAGACCATTCTGGGGCAGGTTGGGAACTACCGGCTCTAACGTTGGCTGCGTTTCCATGGTGTTGGCCGCGGAGCCAAGGGGGCGGGTTCACGCAAGTGCTGAACAAGAGGGTGGGTGGGAGCCGAGTGTGGGTGCGCAGGCGCTTTGAGAGACAGTGAAGCCGGTGGCCCGGCTCCGGGCGGGACCAACAAAGATGGCGGCGGTGCCTGCGGCGGGAGCGATCAGGACGGCTGCTGCGGCTAAAGCTGCAGCCGGACCCGCGGAGGGGCTGCGCGGGGGTAGAAGGGGGTGGCCCTGAGCTGGGGCCTGGCCCCGGCCGGCCTCCCCCGCCGCCTCTCCGGGGGACAGGTACGGGCTGGGGCATTATGGTGTGGAGGCCAGTGGGAAGGCTACTCCAGACCTGAGGGCATGGTTTCCACAAAGGCATAGTCGCAGTGGGGCCCATAGGGGCTTGAGAGAACTGGGCTGGCGGGACAGCATCCCTGGACCGTGGGGAATACGCCGTCGGACCCTGTAGCCAATCAGCGGCCTCGGCCTTTCTGCCCTCGAGGGGGGCGGACCCAGCTAAAGACTTGACGGGGTGGGAGAGGTGCTGCAGAGAGTAGGGGTCTTGGAGTTGTGTGCTCTCCATCCCCGACTCAGCCATACCCCCCCAAACACATACCAGTAGAAATTTCGAAGGTGGGGGAGGGAGTGGATAGCAAAACACCCGTTTGATCGACTTCCTTTTTAGCACTTAGGTGCATGTTTCAGAGGGTGGCATGCTATATTTTGAGCTGTTTTGCTTACGTACACACCACTATGTGACCAGAGGCCCTAAGTGTCCAGGGGCACATCTCACTAGGCTGAACAGTTATAGAGGCCTCTCCCATGAGCTTATAAAGACAGTGTAGATACTGGTTTTTATGTGTGTGTGTGTGTGTGTGTGCGCGAGAAAGTAATACAAAGGGGTAAATTGGTGGGTGGCTGGAATTCATGCATTTATTTCCTCAATAGATGTTAAGTATTTATTTACTCTGTGAAGAAACACTAAGGTAGGTACTGAGGATGTAATGATAACTGCATAGTTGCTGCACTCACTTTGAGCTTATAGAAGACAGTAGGGGAGCCTAGTACAAATGTTGATACCTCTTTTTCTCCTCCTCCCAGGTCCAACCTGTGGTATACATCATGCCTCAGGCTTCTGAGCACCGCCTGGGCCGAACCAGAGAGCCATCTGTTAATGTCCAGCCCCGGGTGGGATCCAAGCTACCACTTGCTCCCCGGGCCCGCAGCAAGGAGCGCCGCAATCCAGCCACTGGGCCAAACCCTATGTTACGACCTCTGCCTCCCCGGCCAGGTCCCCCTGAAGAACGGCTCAAGAAATTGGAGCTGGGACAGGGACGGACCTCAGGCTCTCGTTCCAGAGGCCCCCTTCGGGCAGATCATGGGGTTCCCCTGCCTGGCTCACCACCCCCAGCTGTGGCTCTTCCTCTCCCATCCAGGACCAACCTAGCTCGGTCCAAGTCTGTGAGCAGTGGAGACTTGCGCCCAATGGGGATTGCCTTGGGAGGGCACCGTGGTGCAGGAGAGCTTGGGGCTGCATTGAGCCGGTTGGCCCTCCGGCCTGAGCCACCCACTTTGAGACGCAGCACCTCTCTCCGCCGTCTTGGGGGCTTTCCTGGACCACCCACCCTGCTTAGCATACGGACAGAGCCCCCTGCCTCTCATGGCTCCTTCCACGTGATATCTGCCTGGTCCCCTGAGCCATTCTACACTGAAGAGAAGTTGGTGAGGACATACCAACGCATGTGACCTTCCGTGCTCCTGTTCCTCTGTGCCTGCATATTTTTTTACCAGTACATGGCTTCCCTGTTCAACTTTTCCACAATTGTCTTTCTCAACTCATTTTATCAGTTTAGATACTCTTCTACGCATTACTACTGAGCCTAATGGACTCATTTCTAGGCTATCCCCGAATCCTCCACATGGTGTATTGTTTGAATCCCCAGGGAATTAGCCCAACTATTTGGAATTCTTTCTTGAGCCTCTAGGCTCTTCCATTCCCTTGCTGCACCCTCTCCCCTCAGACTCTCTCAAAGCCTAATTAATCTCTGGAGCTGAAGTGGGGCGGACTCAACACATCTAAGCTAGTGTTGTTGCCTATTTCTTGTGCTAAGCCAGCTAAGCAGATTGCAGTTGGAGCTAGCAGGAGAGGGTGTAGGACGGGGCCACGGGGGCAGGAGGAGGTTTTGGGGGCAGCAAGGTGGGGGTTGGGAGCAGCTGGGCAGCCATGCCAGTGCTTGGGGAATTGCCCCATGAGCTGCAACGCAGGCTAGCTTGGCAGAGGAGTAAGTGGGGAATAGGTGGGACAGCCATGGCTGAGTCCGTGGTACACACAGCTGTGATGGGTTTACTGTTCATGGCCAGTGAGGTAGGGAGAAGTGGGGGAAGGAGGGTTGAGTTTGGGGAAAAGTATGTGTGGAGTGAGTGAGGCTCTGGGCAGAATGCTGTTGCAAGATTGGAGTATCAGGTAGGATATGAGGGACCTGCTAACTATGCTTTAATCTCCAGGCTCATCACACGCTACTGCTTGGCTCCGGTCATGTTGGCCTCCGAAATCTGGGGAACACGGTGAGAGCCATTCTCCTCTCCTTGCTCTCCAGAAGGAATGTGAAATGGTGCCAGGCATAGGGAGCATGTCAGACAACCAGCTGACTTGGGAAAAGCATAAAAGAAGCTTTTCTCATACTTCTAGAGCACTGATCTAGGGAGATAATGGCAGTGTCTCTACTATCCCCCAGTGTTTCCTAAATGCCGTGCTACAGTGTCTGAGCAGCACACGGCCACTTCGGGACTTCTGTCTGCGAAGGGACTTTCGGCAAGAGGTGCCTGGAGGGGGTCGAGCCCAAGAGCTTACTGAAGGTGAGTCCCCTTTTCCCTGACCCCTTTACAGATTCACCTGTGACTGCTGGTGCCCACCCCAACTCTTTAAAAGTTGTGTCTACTTTTCCAGTACCGGCTTTTCTAAAAGTTACTTCTCACCTTTTGAGTCTCTTCTTTCTTTTCACTTCCAGTCATTAACCTTTGTTTCCTTCCCCCAACTCCTGCCCCAATAGCCTTTGCAGATGTGATTGGTGCCCTCTGGCACCCTGACTCCTGTGAAGCTGTGAATCCTACCCGATTTCGAGCTGTCTTCCAGAAATACATTCCCTCTTTCTCTGGATACAGGTGGGAGAGCTGGAAGGAGTGGTATTTTATTCCTTCCATTTCTGGGAGTATAGCCAAATGGGTCCTGACAGCATAGTTCACGGTCTTGAATTGACATTCAGGAAGGTGGGACTGATGTTGGGTAGGGGCTGGTGTCTCTGGTCCTCAGTTGTCCACGTTCTTTGTTTGGCTATAGCCAGCAGGATGCTCAAGAATTCCTGAAGCTCCTTATGGAGCGGCTACATCTGGAAATCAACCGACGAGGCCGCCGGGCTCCCCCAATCCTGGCCAATAATCCAGCTCCCTCGCCTCCCCGTCGAGGAGGGGCTCTTCTAGATGAACCAGAGTTGAGGTAAAGGTCATCTCTTCTTCATTCGTAACTTATCAGCAGGCTTCATTTTGAGCTAGTCAAGGCCCAGGGAACCGCTTTAGCCTGTGACATGGTTTGAGAAGCATCACAGAGGAGGAGGAGGAGAAGGGAGGCTGCAAGGTGCAGATGGAGGTGGAGGATACTGCCAAAGATGCCCCCATGTTGAAGGAGGAGAGAATAATTCATTTTAACGAGGAATATAAAGTCTTTGAAACTAAGTGTGGGAAGATAACATATTCTCCCATGTCTGCATTTCTTTCTTCTCAGAAGGTTCTCTGAAGCATTACTCCTTTTGCCTCTTCCTTGAAATTTAGGGAAGGAGCTGAGGTTGGGTGGGCTCCAGGGTTTTACTTCATTTAAATAGTGTTAGGAGAGCACTTAGTGTTCCTGCTGTTTCATGGATATTCCTCACTTCCTTTCATCTGTGGTAGTGATGATGACCGAGCCAATCTAATGTGGAAGCGTTACCTGGAGCGAGAGGACAGCAAAATTGTGGGTATGGAGCAGGGTAAAATGAGAGGAAAATATCTGGGGCATACAGAGTTAGAAGGAAAAGAAAATTGATATCATCAAAGGGTGTGGGTGATGAAAATATGGAAATGGTATGCAGATTTGTAATTAGTGTTGTTAGGAAGGGAGGGTAAGGCACTGGGGTGGGAAGAGATAGGAATTCAAGAAAACGTTGCAGACATTGGCCAATGACTTTTTCTTCTGGCCTTTTGCTTCTGCCTAGATCTGTTTGTGGGCCAGCTGAAAAGTTGCCTCAAGTGCCAGTCCTGTGGGTATCGCTCCACGACCTTCGAGGTTTTTTGTGACCTGTCCCTGCCCATCCCCAAGGTGGGATTCCAGAGGGTTCCAGTGCTGGATGGGACATGAGTTCTGTGACCCAGTCCTGGTCACCCCCAGTGTGTGGGAGGAAACCCTGGGGATGACTGGCGCAGCATGGAGGCCTACATGATTGAGAAGAATGGGATAAAGAAATTAAAAACGTGCTGACTTTTCCTTCTCTCTTTATCTGCAGAAAGGCTTTGCTGGGGGCAAGGTATCTCTTCGGGATTGTTTCAACCTTTTCACCAAGGAGGAAGAATTAGAATCGGAAAATGCCCCAGTATGTAGGGGTTTACAATGGATTTAATAAGGCTAGGAGACCTGGTGGACTCTTAACTGGGTGAAAGGGGTTACATGATGCTTTAGTATAAAAAGTAGTTTATGTATGTCTCAGTTTGTGTTGAAGACACAGAATGCCTAGTACTCACTGGGCAAAGGGGAGTGGCCAGAAGATACAGAAGTAATGGGGAACATTTTCAATTTAGTATGTGAGTCAAAATGTCAGCTGAGGTGAGAAACACATTAATATTATTTTACATTTATTCAGGTGTGTGACCGATGTCGGCAGAAAACACGAAGTACCAAAAAATTGACAGTACAACGATTCCCCCGAATCCTCGTGCTCCATATCCTAATCCTCAAGTTCTTACTTCTCCTAGGATACCTCCCATTTAGTCTATTTGCAGTGGCTGGACATTTGGGAATTGATATTTCTTTAAGAAAAACCTGCCAACCCATCTTTCTCCTCCATATTCTCAGTGTGTATTGGGGGAAGGGAGAAGAAAGCATTCAGGACTCCAGCCCAGCTCAGAGGTCTCCCAGATGCTCCTTAACCACAGCTTAGATTTGAATAGATTTTCTGCCTCCCGTGGCTCCATCAAGAAAAGTTCAGTAGGTGTAGACTTCCCACTCCAACGACTGAGTCTAGGGGATTTTGCTAGTGACAAAGCAGGTGAGTTTTGAGAGGAAGATCCTGTATAGTCCCAGGAGGGAGGCACACCTCTAAGAGTAGAACTTGATCATCTCTAACTCCACAGGAAGCCCCATATACCAGCTCTACGCCCTTTGCAATCACTCTGGCAGCGTCCACTATGGTCACTACACAGCCCTGTGCCGGTGCCAGACTGGTTGGCATGTCTACAATGATTCTCGGTGAGAATAACCTTCTGTCCAATTCCTACCCCTTCCCACTGCAGCCCTGACTCCCTCCCCTTCTATAAAGCCCCAGGAGAACAGGGTGTCTGGTAAAAGGAGAGGTAAGGTCTCTCCTATTAGCTCTTCCTGGGTTCTGAAGGGTTGAGTCTTGTGGAAGAAGGAAATACACAGAAATTATCACAATCCCTTTCCCATCCTTCTTCTTCCTAGTGTCTCCCCTGTCAGTGAAAACCAGGTGGCATCCAGTGAGGGCTATGTGCTGTTCTACCAACTGATGCAGGAGCCACCCCGGTGCCTGTGACACTCCCTTTAAGCCCCAGCACCTGTGAATCCCTTGACATCCTTAAGCCCCAGACTCCCCATTTACCTCAGAGACGTCTATTTTTGTGTCTTTTTAACGGGGAGGGGGGAGGGGGTGGTTGTAGCTCCCATTATTTTTTTTATTAAAAAATACCCTTCCACCTGGAGGCTTCTTGACTCCTAGCCCTATGTACAGAACTCACTAGGCCTGTGCCCATGTACAGCCCCCAACCCCTCTGCAGTCTCACTTTTTGTGAATAAATTTATTAAGAAAAGATGATGTCCTTATTTGTATTCATGCTTTGAGGGGTGAGGGGGTGGGAGATGTAGAACTGGGCTGATTTGTAGTCTTCCAGCAGATGGGGGCGCTCTCAGCCGGAGGTGGGGGCGCAAAATAAACATGTGGATACCCACATATGCCCAAGCAATGAAGGTTTAGTATTAGGAAGTGGGGGCGGGAAAGATGGCAAACTTCAGCCTCCTGAAACCGGGGAGACCTGAACCAAAAATGCAGGCACTGAGAGGACAGGTATTGTCAGGGATGGGGCTTCCTCTTGAGGGCGAGGCACCCAAGGACCCCTGTTGATAAACACTGAGTACGTTGCTGAGTGGCCTTGGCCATAGCTCCCTTAAGGCACAGTCTGTTGCTAACACCAAGGAGCTGTTTATGGAGGCACCTCCCCAGAGACAGGCTCCAGCATCCCGATCTCCTTCGCTCTTTACAAGCAAAGCTCATGGGGCCCTCCCTCCAGGGTTCTCACCCTAGCTGGGCCTGGGAAACCTGAACTGGGGAATGACAACTTCTGGTTCAGTTTTCGTGGCTATAGCCCAGAGGAGGGTTGTGACAGGGATATAGCATCTCATTGCAACTGGGTACTGAGCCAGTTAATTTCGTGCTCTAAAGATCCGCCCTTGCTAGAAGATTTATTGCAGCTCCGATGTTTTCATTGGCGGATGTGATCCGTGGCTGTCAAGAGTGCACCAATCCAGAAGCATAAAAGAGAAACTCAGGCGCGTGCGCGACAGTAGAATGGACGGAGAGTGGGAGAGGCCAAAAGGGTTGGGGGGCGGGAATAATGGCGGTAGTAGTGAATTTGACGCTCGTGTTAAGGCAGAAGCGAGTAGGAGAACGCGCCCTTGTAGGACTTAGGAAGCTGGCTGGTTCCCCAGAGCCCTGCACCGATAGATAGCGTGGGCGTGACTCTTATCGTCTTCCCAGCGGAGTGCGGGCGGGGTGAGGTCTTGGGGAAGAAGAGACCACTGTCTTCTGTCTTTACTGTCACTCCCGACCTCTTGAGTGAGACTTGGCTCCTAGGTAGGGACTTCACTGTACCCCTAGAGTTTCTGTGTCAGCTGCCTTAGTTCTCCCTACTTCTGTGAGCAATGGAATGTACTGGGCAGTGTAATGCAAAATCGGTGAGACATTTTAGGAACCAGGTCGGTTGACCCTTTATCAGCCCACTCTTCTCCCTAGGTTTCCCAATGGGCCGAACTATCGTTGTGCTGGGCGGAGGTATCAGCGGCTTGGCCGCTGGTTACCACCTGATTCGGGCCCCAAGTCCTCCCAAGGTAAGTGACCTGCCGATGGGAATCCTCTGTGTGTGTGTGTGGTTGAGGGGAGAATCCTTTTAAAGGCACCTTTCTGAAAAGGGGTTGCCAGTTGTTTTTCCATTTCCAGCAATAGTTGGATTCTGTGCATCTTCACCCTTGCTGCACGGCGGCGATAGGCGGCGCTGTAGTAGTATCTTTCATATGTTTCCAGGTGGTCATTGTGGAGGGCAGCCAGCGTCTGGGAGGCTGGATTCGCTCAGTCCGAGGACCAGATGGTGCTATCTTTGAACTTGGACCTCGAGGAATTAGGCCAGCTGGAGCTCTCGGAGCGCAAACCTTGCTCCTGGTGAGGATTGGTGAAACTTATAAAATACTTAGAAGTGGTTGTGAGAGCACCGTTCACTGGGGAGTAGAATTGAGATGAAAGGAATTGCGTAGTGGATCAACCCTTCCCATCGTTTGTCCTCTTTCTGACGGTAAGTAGGTTTCTGAGCTTGGCCTGGATTCAGAAGTGCTGCCTGTCAGGGGAGACCATCCAGCTGCCCAGAACAGATTCCTGTATGTTGGAGGCACACTGCACGCTCTGCCCTCTGGCCTCAGGTACACCATTCTTTACTGCACTTTTGGTCCCAACTTCAGATCATTTCCCTTTCCTCATCTTTCTGTGTATCAGCCCTCCCAGAATAAGGGAAACAAAATGAATGGAAATGCCTCTTTGGAGGTGGGGAGCTAAATTAGAACCTCCTGCCTCACTGTGCCTTCCTCCATCCAGGGGGCTATTCCGCCCTTCACCTCCCTTCACCAAACCTCTGTTCTGGGCTGGGCTGAGGGAGTTGACCAGGCCCCGGGGCAAAGAGCCTGATGAGACTGTGCACAGTTTTGCCCAGCGCCGCCTTGGACCTGAGGTGACACTGCCCAAGCCATTCCCTTCCTAAAATGACTACAGAGCCTCCTACTCAGAGCAACCACTTAGTGGCTCTTCTGTATCATTTGAAAATGCCCTCTTCACTTATCCCCAGGATTTCCCCAAACTCTATGCTAGAGGAGAATGATGTTACATACTGTCCATCTTTCTGTATTAAAGGGAATGCTCCCCAGCCAAATCCTATCCCACCCTCATTTTCTTCCAGTTAGGGCTCGTGGAAATTCATCAGTGCAGCTTATTTTTTGATCTCTTAGTCCCAGTCTCACCCCCTCAGGTGGCATCTCTAGCTATGGACAGTCTCTGTCGTGGAGTGTTTGCAGGCAACAGCCGTGAGCTCAGCATCAGGTCTTGTTTTCCCAGTCTCTACCAAGCTGAACAAACTCATCGTTCGGTACTACTGGGGATGTTGCTAGGGACAGGTGAGGGGGCTTGGTTCAAGGGTTAATGATACAAGGACCACCAGATTTGAATTGAGGGGAGGGACAGCAAGTGGCACCATCTTGATTCTTTGCTTTCTCCTTTGCAGGGCAGAGCCCACAGCCAGACTCAGCACTCATTCGCCAGGCCCGGGCTGAGCGCTGGAGCCAATGGTCACTTCGTGGAGGGCTGGAAATGTTACCCCAGGCCCTTGAGACTCACCTTACTAGCAGAGGGGTCAGTGTTCTTAGAGGCCAGCCAGTCCATGGGCTCAGCCTCGAGGCAGAAGGGCGCTGGAAGGTAGGAGAGCCCTGTGGCGAGTACTGAACCTATCTGTTTCCATCTGTCTGTGTAGTTTCACCAGACCAGGACTGGCAGAACTGGATTTAATAATTTTTCTGCTCCAGAAGCTATTTAAAAAATTTTGTGGCCCTTCAGAACCCTTTTCATTGAAGTCTGTGGATAGAAATAGTCCTTATAAATGACTAGAGTAGAGGAAGGAACCACTCAACATTTTAGAGTGCCCACACAGGCCTGACTGGCCTACTACCTGGATAGCCCAGGGGAGTGATTCTTGTGTGGACCACAGTCATTCAGTCTTTACATCCTGTATAAGCATCCAGCCTCTCCTGACACTTGGGTGCTGGGTTAACTGAGAGTGAGGCAGCAAGTCTTGCTTAACCCATAAAGTTACCATTATCTAGCTTGCTATCTCAAATATTTCCATCCTCTCAGGTCTCTCTAAAGGACAGCAGCCTGGAAGCTGACCATGTTATTAGTGCTGTTCCAGCCTCAGGTAATAGGATGGCCTCCTTCCTCTTCCCCAGCCTGGCCCGGCAGGACCCTACCATGGTTCTCAGTCAGTCCTATCTGCGGGATTCTAATGCCATAGGAATGACCTCTGAAAGTGTGAATACTTTCTTATATCACCCCAAGTGCTCAGCGATCTGCTCCCTGCGGAGGCTGCACCCCTGGCTCGTGCCCTACGTAGCATCACTGCTGTGTCTGTTGCTGTTGTGAACCTGCAGTACCGAGGAGCTCGTCTTCCTGTACAGGTGTGATGGGAGCAAGAGGGCACAGGGGCTCAACTAGAGCCCTACCCTGATAACTCAATCTCTTCCTTCTTTCCAGGGATTTGGACATTTGGTGCCATCCTCGGAAGACCCGGGTGTCTTAGGAATCGTGTATGACTCAGTTGCTTTCCCTGAGCAGGATGGGAGTCCCCCTGGCCTCAGAGTAACTGTGAGAAGAGGAAGCTTTGCTTATGGGGGCTTCCAGAGGGCCCCTCTGGTGCCCCAGTGCAGGCATGGCCAGTGCTGTATCCCTTCCTAGGTGATGCTGGGAGGCTCCTGGTTACAAACGCAGGAGGCCAGTGGCTGTGTGTTATCTCAGGAGCTGTTCCAACAGCAGGCAGAGAAAGCAGCTGCCACACAGTTAGGACTAAAGGAGCCACCAAGTCACTGCTTGGTCCATCTACACAAGGTGAGTTGGGGTAAATCCCTTTCACTCCCACAGTAGAGGCCTTGAAGGTAGGGTCTAGTATACTTATCACTCTGTTCTCCCCAAGAGCCTGAATAATTTAAAATAAATCTTGTATCCTCTCTCCTCAGAATTGTATCCCCCAGTATACACTGGGCCACTGGCAAAAACTGGGTAAGCTGAGAAAGCAACTAGGCTGAGGGGGCAAAGGAGACTGGATTCCCAACTCTTAACATTCTTTCCCTTCCAGAATTAGCTACCCAATTCCTGGCTGCTCAAAGGCTGCCCCTAACCCTGGCTGGAGCCTCCTATGAGGGTGTTGCTGTAAATGACTGTATAGAAAGTGGGCGCCAGGCAGCAGCCCGGGCCTTGGGCACAGAGCCTGACAGGTGATTCTCCAGTTCCCACAACCTCCTGCCCCTGCAGACAGGGACTCCCACCCATGAAAATAAAAATTGCTGGAGTATAGGTTTGTCTGACTTTTCTGTCTCCTGTAGGTACGAGAATGAAGGAGGCACAGACAGGCAAAGGGTGCCTGGGATGCAGAAAGCAGGAGCAGAGGCGAGACAAAGTCCTTTATTAGAAAATATATCAAAATTCCAGCCCCCTGAGCCAGGTTCAGGAGAGGGAACTACTCCAGCACTGGCAGAAAATGCCCAGAGAGGTCTTTTACCAAACATACTTCCCAGGAACCATAAATAGAATAAATATTCACAGGAGGCCCCAGGAGAAGCCAGATCACTCTTCTCTCCATGGAAGAGGAAGGGGCTTGGGATCCAGCCCTGCTCCTACCCCAGAGGCAGGGGACTCTCAGGATTTGTCACATAAAATCATGACATCAAGGATTCACAGTCATAAGGCCTGGTAGGTGACCCTAAGAAAGGGGGAGCTCCAGGCCTAGAGGAGCCCAGCTCCAGTCCAGCAGTGAAGAGGAGCCCTGCCCACCAGCATAGCACTAGAGTTGAGGCCCCCCACATCCCTCCAGAGAACAGTGAGGGGCTTTGGATGAGGAGTACCACTCCTCTGATTCAGTTTCATGATTAAGGTAGGCAGGAAGGAGAAGTCAGTGTGAACCATGGGGTGCTGTGTGGTTGGCAGTAGGTAGAGGGCCAGGCCTTGCTGGGGGCCGGCGCTGCAGCATCTCTTGACGGAAGGCCTGGGAGGATCCAGGTGGATAACGGGGACCAGACGGGGCGCGGGGGCCCCGAGGGTCAGTCCCAATGTCTGCTGTGATGTTAGTATAGAGAGGGCCCAGTTCTCGAGCCAGCAGTCGGTATGTCAGTGAGTTCATCCCATCTTGTGTCCAGGAATTCTGGGTTCGGACCAGGAGGTCAAATCTGAAGGTTAGAGGTTGAAAACTAAGACCCAGAAAGGGATAGCTGGGTATCTAGAGAACTTTAGCAGTCTCCTGCCTAGGGGTGCAAAATCCTGAGAATCTAATACCTTTTCCCAGGCAGTCCTCCCTCCCTACCTGTGAGGATTCTCCTCATTGCCCTTGTCTCCTCGGTGTTTCACCATCTTGTAGTGCCCCACAGATGTGGGAGGTCGAGAGATCTTCATCCCAGCCAGACGCACCCTGTAGGATAAATGAGAGGGCCTTAGAGGATCCAAACTAGAGGGAAGCGGCTGAAAACGAAGGCCAGCAAGGAAGGGACTGCATGTTTCTGTACACAAAGTACTAGGGGGCAAGTGCCATGTAGTGGAGTGGGAAGACAAACAGAAAGAAGGAAAAGGCTAGATGTATCCAAATCCTCAGGGCCCTGTGCCAGACACCCTGGGGCCTTTAAACAACTGACACAGGTATGTTTGCATCTCACACGTTTGTTTTCTAACTGGTTCCCAGGAACTGCTCTTGTGTTTGGGAAGTGAGGGGAGAGAGGTCATTTTGTCAAAAAGATGGCACAAAATGGAATTGTCAACCCAAACCAAGTAATTTTTAGAATAGTGGCTGCGCTACTCAATACTAACTCCATACTCCCTTATCCTTCTGTTAAAATAAAGTAGGAACAGGTCATCAAGACCTACAGAGAAACAAATCCCAATCCTGAGACAAAGAAACAGGGAAGTGAAGATGGCCTGGGATAGTGCTAACAGAATATAACATACATGCAGAATTTACTGAGTGTTTCACACAAACACAGAAGATGAGAACTCAGAGGTAGCATCCCAGAGAATACAAATGGAGGGGAAACAATAGGTCTGGCACACAAAACTCAAATATTCACACCAAAGGTATGAAATTAGGCCAGCCGAGGCTCGAGGCTGATGGCCAGAGCAATTCAGATACTAAAAAAGGAGCTATCATCATGCCAGTGGCACCTTTTTTAAAAAAGGGACTCTGGGAATGGAGCCCCTCCTTCCTCATTTTCTTAATAAGTAGTTTGGATAGAGCCCTAGCAAAAGACTACACTGTCTCTGGGCCCCTTCCTAGTTCTAGAATTCTAGAATAGTGTATTCTGTTGATCTTATCTCCTTGCCCATAAACACATCTAGATAATATGCAGAACATGACATAGATGGACTGAAAAGACTTGCGGGAGAGGAATGGGCTCAGTGCAGGAAGTTAATGGTAGTGTTGGAGGGCTATGGCCCCCCAGGAATGGCCTTAGAAGACCAGAATCTAAGGCTGGGATGGGGAAAGGAGATGATAGCAGGAAGTCTGACCTGGTAGCAATATCATCATCTTCACCACCCCAGCCCCAGTATTCATTTGGGAAGCCATTCATCTTCAGGTACTGGTCAGGAGTGAGTGCAGAGACTCCCCCGAAATACTGGGGGTATGGCAGGCTGGAAAGAGAGGGGGAGATCTTTGAATTCCAGAAGTCTGGAGATCCATACCCTTAGTCTTTTTCTACTGGGTGGTGTATCTCTCTGATTCTCAGCACCCTTCTGCGCCACCTACCTGTATCCAAACTTGTTCATGGCGACAGCAACATGTCGGGGTCCCCGGGGGTCACAAACATAGAGATTGTGGTCATTCTCTGGCAGAAGGTCCACGTCATGCAGAAACAGGCAGTCCCATTCCTCATCACGGAGGGCCTCCCGAACTCCAACATTTAGCAGCTTTGCCCTGTTAAATGTTCCATTTCCAGCCTGGAAGATAATGATGGGGATCAGCCTGTGTCTGCAGATAGGGAACATGGGGAAGAGAGGGCTGAAGTATAAAGGCTGAAAAATCACAGGGTGCAGAGAAAGGAGAATGAAGAGAAGACAAACTATCTTTTTCATTAAATCACTCAGCAAAATATCCCTAAGCATCATGTTTGCCTGGTGCTTAGGAAACTGTTATTTTAGCATTTCATCTTGACACCAACCATGTGAAGCAAGTGGCACACTGGCTATCTACTGCTATTTGCTTCACTGTTTAAAGAACTTGCTCAAGGCCCCTTGTGTAACAAATGGCAGAACTAGAGTTTGAACCTAGATTTGTCCAATTCCAAATACCACACCAGCCACTCAACAAAGGAAAAGCCATGGAAACAAACAGGACAGCAGCAATAGCCTGACAAGAATAAAGAGAGGTAGGAGGTTAACAAGTTTGGCAGAGTAATTCCAAGTGCTCTCTATGTTCAAGAGTCTGGTCTTCTTAAAAAAAAATTCCAGGAACTCATTAGATGACAGTGGAATGGTATTTGCCTAAAAGGCTTTCTTATAAGAAAGGGCCCGGGTGGGGTGTGGTTGGGGTACCTGGTGGATGACGTAGATGCCGTAAGCAAGCTGCTGGCGCTGCAGAAAGGGGTGCAGGTGGTAGAGCAGCAGGCGCAGGTGGTGCTCCCGGGCACGGTGAGGAACAATGATGGCTGTTCGTGAGCGGGGCTCACATCCAGCTGGGCGGTACCGGCCCCCCAGTTCCACCCGGGGGTTTCTTTCCACAATCTCTGCCAGCGAAGGCACTGGGCTAAAGGACACCGACACAGGACCCACTGTCGGGAGGGGATGGCAAAGTCAAAGATTTAAGGAGCAAGAGAAAACAGCAGAGTCTGGGACTAGCTCTGGCCCTGGCCAGACTCAGTTTGGATTCAGTTCCTCCCAGGCTCACACAGAAATCTCACAAGTACTGGGTTTGTCACAATTGGAGCAGCTTCGGCAAAGCCGGGAAGGTGCAGGTTCCTGATCCAGTCTACTTCCTTATTTTGGGGTTAAACCTTCTCCCTCTTCACAGAGGTGGAAATTATAGCTAAGGGATAGAATGAATGGAACAACTAAAGGAAACAGTCCCTAGCCTGGAGGAGAAAGGAGTCTTTACATGGGCAAGCAATGGAAAAGTTTGTGACCCAATCAAGAGTCCAGTTTACCTTCAGATACAGTGTTCACTCCACCTCTAATGGAGCCACCTTCTAATGACATGACTTTACTGATCTAAGTCCCACTCTAGTGACTCCATGCCAAAGCCTCCTGCCATACACTTCAACATTTGCTTCATGTCCTTCCTTCTGCACTTACCTAAGAGAGGAGATCGTTCTGGACAGTAGGGCAGACCTTGAGGAGCTTGAGGGCCTCCTGGACCAACAGGGGCCCCAGGCAGGTGACTGAGGTTACTGTAGACATCATGGGGGTGAGAATAATCAAAGGTGGGCCCTTGATCTCGGCCAAATAGGGCACTGAGGCTTCGGAAGCCCCCCAAAGACAGGTACATCATGACGGCCAGCTGGGAGCCCACAAGCAGGGCCAGCGTGCATGGTCGCTCCAGCAGCCTCCACAACATCCTGGGAGGGGTCTGGGGAAGGAAAGAGGGGCATTCTAGAGGGGCTGGTAGGAAAAGAGCCAACCAGCAGAGATCAGAAGGTAAGGAAGAATATAGTGTGGTGGGGGTAAAAAGGAGAGGGGAAAAAAAAAAAGATGCAGAGACCAAAGCTACAGAAGGGAACACACAGATGTGCTGGACATGTGAAGGTGCAAAAATAGAATGTAACCATCAATAGCCCTATCACCTGTTACTTACAAGCCAAATATTACTCTCTTGCAACTCCCCTCAAAACCACTCCTACCACTTTTCAGTTTCCACCTCCAAGAAACATTAAATCATTCTTAATCTGGCCTCCTGTACATTTAAAAAAATGTCTAGAGAAACCCTTTTCTAACCTCAGAGGGAACAAGACAGACTCACCTAAGTTCAAGCTGTCTTCTTGGGCGACATGGGGACTTCAGGGGGTCCCCGGGGAGGAGAGATGTGAGGCATTATCTAAAATAGGAAATGTCCCGGAGGACAGAGAAAGGTTCCATCCAACATTCCAAAGGCGATCCTAGATCCCAGCGGGAACCTAAGTGGTCAAGAGGAATCAGTCACCCACGGAAGGGTCGATTTTAGAATCAGGATGAAGCCAATTCCACAGCAGAAGCAGAGCAAATGGTAGGACGGTAAAGGGGAGGAGCGGGAGCTTGGTCCAGGCTCTGATCCTCAGCCCTGGGCTACAATGCAGGGACAGTGGAAAGTCCAGACTTAGCCACCCCTCCCACGACAGGTCTGACCTGTTTGGGAGAGTGGGGACAGGGCAGCTAATGGAGACATTATTTCCCCCCACACCAAGAACTCCTTCAAAGGCCAAGGCAGTCATGGTGGACCGTGGTCTCAGGAGAGCCCAGGGCGGGGTAGGAAACAAGCTCCTTAACGTTCTTCACGTGCCTGGGAGGTAGCTCTGCAGGTGCAGGGAGCGTGACCACCTGGGAGCAGGCAGCAAAGCGTCGTAGAACCAGCGGCGAGCGGGGTGGGGGTGGCGCCTCTACCCCCGCGGAGTCAGAGCAGGGCAGGCGAGAGGCCAGGGGGAGGGCTGGACAGAGATACCTGCCAGGACTCACCTGGAGGGGCGTGGCCAGCGTCCTGCAGGGTCAGACTCCCGGCCCCACCGAAGACGCCACCCCACCCACTGGCTCCCGCATTCCCTGCCTTACTTTGCAAGGCGAGCTCGACCAACCCAGGTCCAAATTCTACCTGGAAACCCCCACCCCCTTCCTGCTCAAGCTTGCCTCTGCCTTTTGCCTAAAACCTCCACCCTCCGGATCGCCGGCATCGTTCTCCGGACTCACTCCACCACTGACCCGGGGCCACATACCTGGACTCTGCCTCCCGTCGTCACCGCGGCCCCGGCCGCCTAGCTAACCTCGCTGCAGCCATCTTGGAAGTGGGCTCTGCGGGAACCGCCAGCGTCACGGGGCGGGGCTTAGGGCGGAGCCTCCCGGGGGCAGAGGACAGGCTCCTCGCCGCGCCCCGCGCTGCGCTCCGGGAGCGCTGTCCAGCGCGGGTGATCGCGGACCGCAGGCCGCTCGGGGCCTGATAACCCGGGAGCGCGCGCGGGGGCTCATCCTCAGCCCGCCATCTCCCTGCAGAAGTCTGTTTCTCCCACCTCAGGCCTGTAAAAGCAGCTCTGACTTCTCTCTGACCATTGGAATCGTTTCTGGTGGGCCCGCTGACCTCACTATCCACCCAGTAACCCCTCCCCCAGAGGCCGAGTCTCCCTCGCAGCGTGTCGATGGCTCCCCCTGCAGCCCAGTGACAATATCCAAATGGTTTCTGGCTTAGGTTACAACATTGCAGACCGCGCTGCCTCGATTTTATATCCCCTTGTTCTTGGGGAGAAAGATGAGAGAGATCTCCTGCCGTGTGATTTACAACCTCTGAAAATCCACTGGACATTCAGCTATGAGTCTAATTAAAGGGCAATGACTTTTGATTAGTATTCCGTGGGAGCTCTGACGGCCTAGTCCGTAGGTAATTGCGCGGCTAACCCAAAGGGGGCGCCTGCCTCGTGAGGTTCGAATCCACCGCTGGCTTCTAGAGGAAAGATGAGCAATCTCCTCCCGAATGATTTACAGACAGCTTCAGGAGCCTGCTGGAAGGTCAGCTATGAGTTGGTTTCTAATTGTAATCAGTTCCTACTGGATGACAATGAGCTTGAGTTTAAGTTTGACATTTTGTGAGGAGACCTGGTATAGTGCATAATGCGTTGGTTTGCTAACCAGAAAGGTCCCAGATTTCAGCCACTCTTCAAGAGAAAGATAACAGCAATCATAATGAACCTCCATCAGTTTGCAAGGCTGTACATTTTAGGAGGAAGAGACATGGTTCCAAAGAGAAGTCCGTCTTTTGGTCAGTGTCGCAGCTTTGCTCCGACTCAGCAGCAGTGAGAATTGTTTTTTTGTTTTTTTCACTAGCCAGAACAGTGAACAAATCAGCCTTGGGGGAAAGTACAGCAAGAATGCTCCTTAGACACAAGGATGGCAAGATTATCATTGGAAAAGAACATTCTTGGTAAATCAGAGATCAAAACCAACAACCATCAGATTGACACAGTGGCTGCAACAGTGAGATTAAATAATGCAACAATTGTGAAAATGACAATGTTTGTGCTGCTATACATACAATTTCTATTAGTTGGAGCCAACTGAACTGGAAGCCTGAAAGAACTACTGGACTTTGAAAGGTTGTTTGTTGTTAGATGCCATGGTGTTGTAGACCAAGGGTAAAGTATATTAATAAGTATTAATAATGAGATAGAACATCAAGAATGTATAAGTAAAAAGAGGTAAAGCAACAGTTCTTGAACAACTGAAGCATCGGTCTCAGCTTCCCTGTGCATTTATTGAAAATTGCCTGGGAGCAAATCACAAAGAAAATTCTATGCAAATGAAGCTAAACTCTTTCCATTGAAAACTTTATGCTTGACTCAGGAGGGAGGGATTGGCAAGTACAAGAATCCTGTAATGCCTAAGGTTTGCCTTAGTGCCTACCCTTGTAAACATTTAAGATTTGTCTTAGTGCTTCAGAGTGAATTCCACCTTGTATCCACCCCTCCTTCATATCCTGATACGGCATTTGGTTTATGGATTGAGGCTCAATATCAAGTAAACAAAGATTCTAAGCACTGGGCCAATTGACAGTTGGTGAAGAGATTGATATTGTTCACAGCTTTAGTTTGCTTGACTCCACAATCAACACTCTTGGGACCAGCAGCCAGGAAATGATAAGATGTATTGTGATGGAAAAGTCTGCTGTTAGAGACCTTTCTAAAGTGCTGAAGACTGGAGACTAAGGTGCGCCTGATACATGCCATGGTCTTTGCAATCACTTGCTATGCATTGGAGAGCTGGACAATGACTAGGGGTGATAGAGGGAAAATTGATGCCTTTGAGCTGTGGTGTTGGAGAAGAGTATTGAGTATACCATGGACTGCTAAGAGAACAAACAGGTTTGTCCTGGAGAGGGTGAAGCCAGGTTGCTCTTTGGAGGCAAGGATTCTGAATCTTCACCTGACATAATTTAGACATGTTGCAAGGAGGGACCAGTTCTTGGAGAGGGATGTCATGCTTGGGAGGGTGGAGGGACAGTGCAGGAGAGGAAGACCCTTGATGAGATGGATTGATTCAGTGACTGGGGTAATGAGGGTAGGTGTGTCAGAGACAATGAGATTGGCAAAGGATAGGGCAGGGGTTAAGGCTGGAGTACGTAGGGTTACTATGAGTTGTAGGCTACTCAACGGCACATAACAACAACAGTATGAAATTTGGCTTCCCACATTTCCTCCTATTTGTTTTTATCATAATTATTTTGTCATCTAAGTGAGTATGGCTTCTTCTCTTCTTTGATTCTTGCTTGGTTTTGTACTCTCCATCCTTTATAAACAAACAAATATAGCAAATCAAGCAAAATAAGCTCACAAAAATACTTCCAGAAATCTCCATATGATGGGAAAGATTCAGATTGAATATAATTTCACTATTCTTTGTGGAATATTGATGTTATTAAAATAATCCAATTGCTTATCAAAAGCAGAATGAATCTGATTATGTAATTTCAGTATATAGTCTTTGAAATTACCAGGATCCATTCTATTCAGTATCATTCAAATTTACTGAAGTAACACAAAACTGTGTAGTATTCCAGTTACAGTTTAATTTTATTTGTGTTTGAAAAGACCATAACTTTTTCATAATTTTAATGCAGTGTTTTTACACACTCTGAGGTTTGAGGCAAAGCCAAGCCAGCTGTAATAGTGGTGGCAGTATTGGCGATAATGCCAAAAATTGCGAATTCAAATAACTCTTTTCTCATTTTTTAATAATTGTGTTGTTGTTGTTAATTGCCATTGAGTTGTAGGCAACTAATATTTACCCTGTGAACAAAAGACTTGAATATTTGTATAACTTTCATTGTTTCTCCAAGTTTATAGGGTTTCTGGAGGCAAGCTATTTCGGAAGTGGATGCCACTCCTGCTTCCAAGCTTGTTTTAATTGAGGAGCTCCACCAAACACTATCCACCAATTATTTTAATAATTATGTTACCAAATATTTTAAGGTCATACATTCAGGGGATGATTGGCATTTTCTCTTTAATACTGACAACCATAATTCAAGTTAGGATCTGAATATGTAAATACTTCCATTAAATGATAAAATAATAGAAAAATTTAAACAAATATATAAAAAACAATTTTGAACAATATAACATTAAATTTGTAGATTCCCATTTAGTTGAACCTTGTAAAAATACATACGGTAATGAAACACAGGCTCGAATGTAATTGGTTTAATTTCTTTTCAATTTAGAGCTAGTAACATTAATATGATCATATGAATAATTTCCAGTTTAAATAAATAAACGTCCCAATACAGTTTTTATTTTTCATAAGTGTTTTTGATAAGAAAAATGTTGAAAACTTGGATAAGACTTCACCATTCCTCCTCCATGCTAAGATATAGTATTATTAGCATGAGTAGTTATAAATCCATTGCCTTCACTGGGAATATACCCTGAAGAGACCATAGCTGACATCCAAGCAGATATATGCACACCCATGTTTACTGCAGCTTTGTTCACAATAGCAAGGAGTTGGAAACAACCTAAGTGCCCATCAACAAACGAATGGCTAGAGAAGCTGTGGTATATTCGCACAATGGAATACTATGCTGCATTAAAAAACAAGGAACTCATGCAATATTATTCAAAATGGTTGACTCTGGAGAACATTATGCTGAGTGAAATATCCCAGTCACAAAAGGACAAATATTACATGATGCCACTGTTGTAGAATGGGACTGTCCTTGGGGTTAGGGAGAGACTGAGTAAGATGGGTTCAATAATGTATACTGCACTGAAGCAGAGGAGGGAGAGAACCGTCTAAAAGAGAGATGGAACTGGGTATTTCTGTCATCACAGGAGACTAGATCGAGGGCTGCATGGTGGAGGGGACCTGGGGGAGTGTTTGTAAAACAATGAAAGAATCTTTTCTTTTACTTTTCCATAATTTTTGACTCATGTACTTATAACTTTTTAGTCAAATTTGTGTCTTCTAGGTTGCAACACCCCCATGATACATCTTGAAGGATATGTACATGTACAGCCAAGCACAATCAATAAGAGTGCATCTAAATTCCAAAATCAATCTCCATAATAGTCTATGTGTTTCCTACTGCCAAAGGGGCCCTTTAGAGTAGTGAGAGAAGATCTTCACCCTGAAACCCACAGCGTCCCTTTTCAGCAGGAAGTAGCTAAGAGAATACGCCGTCCCCTTTTCCTTATGACTCAGGGTGAAGTCTCTCTCAGGGAGGAGTGATAGGGAATGGCAAAGGATACACTGACAAAGAAGATTAATCAGAACTGGCTTTGACAAGCACTGTGGCATTTGGACAAGAACAAACTGGGAGGAGGGTAGAGAGAATAGTGCAACAATGAATGAGTGGAAGCCCAAAATCT